AGAGAGAGAGAGAGAGAGAGAGAGAGAGAGAGAGAGAGAGAGAGAGAGAAGGGAGGAGTGTCGAGATAGAGGAGGACAAAATCTGAGAAGAGGAAGTTCGGCGTTGCCGCCGTACACTCACGCCAGAGACAGAAATCCGCAACAATTATGCGATCTCCTGATTGCATGTCATGGCGGAGAAGGAGAGAGAGAGGGAGAGAACAGAGTGATGCATGAGGAACCGAGCGTATCAACAAATGATCCAGCCAGAGTCCATGTTGACGCCAACTTCAATTGCAATCTTCTGTGGGCTCGTGCTGCTGGAATCATCGATGGTCATCCAGGTGATGCCACCATCGTCAACCGGTTCTCCGTGTGCTCTGCACCCCCGTTTATCACTGCTCGTCGAATCAGAGCGTAGGTTGACGTTATCATTAATGGCGTGATCTTCGCGAAGCTTACTGATTCATGTCGCTTTCCGCTGCTGATTGGATGAAGTGGGGGGGGGGAATAGGGATCCGATCGGGATCTACCTCCTAGTTGGGATGGGCTAATAGAGGCGATACATGGAGGGGATCTCTCGAGGACGACGGGGAGGAAGTGGGGGTAGGTAACGATTCATCCCTTCTACCGTCACCGGAAGCTCCTCATATCGGATGATCCGGTGAAAGTGAGGGAAGTGATCGCCGCTGCGAGGGAGGAAGCGAGGTAATCGCGATAGAAGGATGAGAGGGTGCGGAGAAGCGCCGCTCGAAAGAACTCGTAGTGGCGGCAGGCGGGGATTGTCCCCGTGGCTACGCAGTAGACTTCTACCACGTTGCATCGTTCCCATGCAGCGCTGAACAGCAGGATATGCCAGCAAAACGTGGGGGCAGCGGGCTGAAGGGATGCGTGGGGGTGGACGGTAACGAGTAGGCGGGTAGAGTAGAAGTCGCGGAAGAGATGGGGGAGGAAGGGATGAAGAAGGAAGGTGATGGGGGTGCGGATTTGTTCGAGGGTGAGAAAATCAAGGGGTCGGCAGGATAGCGTCCGAGGACGAAGGCCTATTGCCCGCATCGGTACGTGGGCGAACTGGGGGATGGGTGGGGCTGGAGGAGGAGGGGGATCGGCTCCGTCTCCGTCGCGCGGTGCTTGAGGTGGCGGCTGCAGGGTCGCCATCTTCGGGCTTTGGCGACTCCGGATCTCTGGTCGGATCGTTACCGATGCGCAGGCTGGCTTCGCTGGCGAACTCCAGTTGGCGTTTCCCGGTGGCAATTTCTTCGCGCTTTCACGTTGCTTCCGGATCTTCCGCCTCCGTGCCCGTGCGCGCCGCTTCCTCTGGCAAAGCTTTCCACTCAGACTCGGTTCCTTCTTCTCCCTCCTCTTCTTCTTCCTCTTCACTCAGCTCGCCCTCCTCCGACGTTTTCTCGTCGTTGTCTTCTTCGTCGTCGTCGACCACCACTTCCTCCGCCTTCGGATAGAAGGTGTGAGGGATGATGTCGTACGACTTCAGATACTCCTGCCGGGATGGTAGAGTATCTTCGTCCCTGGGCTCCTCTAAGCACGCAGTCCACTGAAGGTATGGATCCAATGATCGCTCGAGAATGTACGGGGCAGGGCTGTCGGGCAAGCGATCGTCCGCCAATTGCACGATCGGCGCGATGAGCTCCTGCGTAATCAACTGGCGGCGCCCCGACTGTACCGATCCAAAGAGAAAGCCAAGAAGATCGCCCTCCACGTTAGTCCTCCAAGCTTGGATGATCAGCAGCTCCGGATTTTCGATCCACGCAGGATGCTCGCTGGTCTGCATCCACGTCACCTGTACTCTGGCCAAGCAGAAAGACAGCTCATCAAAAGTTTCGCGCCACAGCTGCCAATGCCCAGGATTGATAAGAGGGACTGAAAGAGGCTCGAATGAGAAGTAAAGAGAAGGATGAAGATCGGATTGCCAGAAGGTGGGGAAAAGAGAGGGGAGACCAAAGATAGAGAGAGGAGCGAGAGGATCGGCGTGGTTCATTGGGGACGTGGGAAGGGGACGAGGGTGAGGATCGCAACTGGCCGCTCGCGCGGAGAACGACGAATGTCACCAAGATCCGGTGCAAAGATCGGGATGAGGTTGTACCCAGGTCGGGCGAGGACGTGCTGCCACACGTTGGACACCTGCTCCGTCTACTCGCGCAGCGAGGTTAAGATCGCGGTATGCCACTACGGATTGACCGAGCTGATGTCGCCGCTGAACGCCGCAACCGTGGTGACGTGGCTCATTCTAGGAGCCGCTCGCCGATGAACTGCGATTACCTCCGCAAATACCACTGCGTGAGGACTCCCTTCGATTCGAAACGCGGCGGCGGCGCACACACCCACGTCGCAGAAAAATTGCGCCAAACGCCGAAGATCCGTATTGAGCCACGGGTGACAAACTTGCCGAATCTCTGAGATGTGGCCACGTGGCTGCAACAATTGTTCGTCAAGAGCCCGCTCCGTGATGAAACTCATGGCGAGGTCGGAGAGGAGGACGAAGGACAGGAGGGAGAGAGTGGAGAGAGAGTTAGATCGTCGTCGTTCTCCTCGCTTTTCGAGGAAGAAGAGGGAGGAAGATCAGAAGGAGGAAGAAGACGGAGGTAGGAGGTTGGCGTTCTCAGCCAACCCGTTCGACTGGGACATGTGGGGTGCCGTATGTCAGAGCGTGACGACCCTTCGTGCGAGGAGTTCCTCGACTTTTCCCTTAAATTCAGATCCATTGTCGGTTAGAATTTCTTCCGTATCTAGATGGGTATAGAGGAACCGATCGATGTACGTAGCTATTTCAGCGGCTTTGCGGGTCTTGCAGGGGTAAACTTCGATGTACTTGGAAAAATGGTCAATTAATACTAAAAGGATAGAATATTCGCAGCGGTTTGGGTCAGGTGGCACATCGATATCTGTCGTGTCCATACTGACGCGCTGGAAAGGACGCTCTACTTCCGTTGGTACTATCGTGTTTGGTCCCCGAATTGGGGCGCGATCAGCGACACAGACCAGACAGTTGGCGACAATGTACTTGACATCATCTCGTACGTTGGACCAGAACCATCGGTTCTGGTCCACAGTTGCCTCCGTGACACGTATCGCGAAATGAGCGGCCTGTTCTTCGTGAGCAGATCGGATCCAATCATATCTCTGGAATGGATGGGGAACCGTCAACCACGACCCCGATCCGTCAGTTTTATGCTTTTCCAAATGACCGTTGATCCATCGATAGTCCCGAGATCTCTCGGTCGCCCTACGTCTGTCGTGTTTGGTGAGGTGACCCAATGACAATCCCGCTAATTTCGCTAATAAGATTTTATTCGTCCAAACCTCCGCTCGTCGGTATTTTTCGTCGTATTCAGGGCCGTCTGTATGGGCAGCCTCGAATCGAACCTCCGTGGGGAGTTTGTTCGTTCTACACAGGGGGCACCTCAATTCCTTGCTACTCGTCCGATATCAAACGCAGGCCCCGTGCGCACGATTGACACACGTGGCACATTCTACCCAGTCGACAAACCCGGTTTCGAAAGGATGACAGTCGACCCCATAAACCCGTGCAATGCATGTGCAAAAATAACAGAATTTATCGGGGAGGGTGGCAAAGAAAGCTGAGGACGTGAGAGGGGCAAAATAAGTAGGAGATGAAGGGGTTGCAGAGGCAGGTGGGATAGTCATGATGACAGAGGAGGAAGGGATGAGACTGTATTGCAGAGAGAGTAGAACAGACAAATTAGTCCTCGTGTCGCTTACTACTTTGATAAGATCTCCACTTGGCCGTACCGAGGTCCAACCTCTTGTTCGGGTTCGTTCCACGGAATCACCTCCTCATTCTTCGGAACTTTCTCAGGCCGGTGCAGTCGTGTCAGCCCGTCCCCATTCCCGTGTCTCTCGTGCTTCCGATGACGAATGTCAAAATCCATGCTCTGCAGCACCGTTGCCCATCGCCCGATCATGCCCGAGTAATCCTTCGATTTCTTCAGAGCCAACAGGGGCTCATGATCGGTTACCAAGGTGAACTTCCGCCCGTACAGGTAAGCGCGAAAGTGACTGGTTCCCCAGAGAGCCGCATAACATTCTCCCGTTGGAGCGGTGTAGTTGCGTTTGCAGGCGGGCACCGATTTGGACGCATACTTCACCACCCTCTCGAGTCCACTTGGCCCCACTTGGGCGAGAATAACCGAAATTGCCTCGGGCTGCCAGTCAGTGATGAGAACAAAAGTTTTTTCGGGATCCGGTCTTATAAGGACCGGAGCCGAAATGAGAGCGGCCTTGAGTTTCGAGAACGCTTGATCACACTCCGGCGTCCAGATCATTGACTGATCTTTGCGCAGAAGATTCGTGAGGGGTCCCGCGATCGCCGCGAATCCCTTGATAAATCTTCGGTAGTACGAGGCCAGGCCCAAAAAGGCGCGAACTTGCGTGATAGTCGTAGGCACCGGCGCATCTCTGACGGCGGCCACCTTCTGCGGCTCCGGTTGGAGCCCTTTGTCTGTTACCACGTGTCCCAGGAAGGAAATGGTGGTAAGAAAAAACTGACACTTCTCAAGCGCCACCTTGAAACCCGCATCTCGTAACGCATGCAGAGCCCACTCGATGTGCTGTACGTGTCCCTCGTAGGAACTCGAGTACACCAGGATGTCGTCCATGTTTACAATCACGCAATAGTTGATGATGCTCTGCGCCAAACGAGTCTTCCGTATGAAATTCTGAAAAGCCATATTCATGGCTCTCTGAAAGGTCGCGGGAGCGTTGCAGATACCCATCGGACATCGGACCCACTGCCACGTACCCTCAAAAAGCTCAAACGGCATTTTTAGACGATCTTCCTCTCGGACAAGAAGATGATGGAACCCAAGGCGGACGTCAAACTTACTGAAAAATCGAGCACTCCCAATCGCATCCAACAACTCATCAATCCGGAGGAGGGGGTACACATCCTTGATCGTGATATCATTCAATTCTCGATAATTAATACAAATGCGAATCCCTCCGGACTTTTTAGGCACGATTACTACAGGAAAGGACCATGGACCTATAGCGGGTTCGATCCATCCATTAGCTTCGAATTCCTTAATCCGCTGAAAAGCGGCCGCTCTTTGAGATGGCGAGTATCAGTAAGGAGCACAACTAATGGGCGGATGTTTTCCCGTGAGGATGGCATGCTCGATCACGTTAGTCAAACCGATATCATTATCATGCACGCTCAACACTTCTGCATAACCATTCAAGACATCGATTAGTGATTTTCGAAGTTCCGTGGGGACGTGGCTTGGCAGGGTGATTGTTGATTCCCCATGGGTCTTAAGGGTTATATCGATCCAATCAACCGGCCGCTCCCTTCGATCGTAAACACTGAAAAAGACAAAACTGCTGGTGCGAACAGAAAAGACAGTCGCAATCATCTGTGATTCGGCGAGACTGATCATTTCGGTTTCTTTAGTTTCGGCGTCAGTTTCTGAATCGACCGAAATCTGCTCCACAGTCAGTCCTGTTAGGTCCGCCATCTTTTGCATTAGATCAGGCACGTCATCTACCGGTGCTTCTGCCTTCTGTTTAATCAAAGCGATGGTCGCCCCCGTTGTTAGTAACGATCGAGGCGGAAAAACAAAAACGTCTAGATACTGTTCCGTTTGTTGATAACTTGTTCGTAAGGAAAGTGCTCCCTCGTAGAGGGTACGAGGGGGTTCCAAATCATCAGCCAGGTCAGACACTTGTAATATGGGTTCCCCGAGGAGGACTGAAGGACTGACCTGGGCTTTCGGAGGCGCAAGTGTGCTGTCTCCTGAATCCACGTGGAAGCTTCGAGCTGTGACGGGGCACACTTGAAATTCTTCAGGAATTTCGTGTTCGAAAAGCTCGACCAGGTGCTTCCATTCATCCTCACTAGGCAGTTCTTCTTCGTATTCCTGCTCCCTGATTCCGTTGCCTATGTCCGAGGAGGAATATTCMTCGGGRTCAATGCCTCRAATCATCYCTATTTGAGMYRAGTTAGAAGTTCGTTTTATCGTTCWGGTAGAAATTCGCAAAGGAACAGTTTSAGTTTTTCCCCCAGTTTGCGTGAGCACCAGTTGCTTGGAATCAAAATGCAAACGTGCGCCCACCGCCATCGCCCAAGGTAACCCTAACAACACAGAATAGGAACGCACATCTATCACGAGCGCGTTAACGAGGATGTGTACTCGCCCGACTTTCACAGCCACATTTTCAATAACGCCCACGATATTCATTGCTTCCTCGTCGGCAGAGACATAATTATCTTTGTCAGATTGAGGAAGAATAGATCCGAGTCGTCCCGTCTTCCTGACAGTGTTTAATGAGATAGCTACTGCAAAAGACCCTGTGTCCATGAGGGCGTTAAATGGTTTGCCCCAAACTTCACAATCACATTCCGCACTTTTCCACAGTACCGACCGAGCTCGTACGAAGTGATCTTTTTCTGCTAAAGAGATCGCCGCTACACGTGCGGCTTAGGTTTCGCAGGCTTCGGGTTCGGGTGGTGCTACATCCTCTCTTTCCTCCTCCTTCTTCTTTAACATTCGTTGGATGCACTGGTACGTAAAGTGCTTTTGATTCTTCTGACAATGTTGCAAAATTTTATCATTTGCCGCTTCGGATATGGTGAGCAGATGTCCCACCGGGATTGGAACACGGATATCCAATTGCTTGAGCGCTCGTAACACATCAATTTCTCCCGTCCGAAACTGCGGACCTGGATTGGACTCGCGATCGACCCATCCGAGATCATCAGGGGCCGATCGGATCGCTCCGACCATTCCTGCAAGATGAAGATACTCGAGTGGATCGACCACGTCAGCAGCGTCAGCGGAAGAAGCTCCCGACGTTGATGCCGTTGCCGTCGAGGGGGAAAGCTGTTCTGGGGCATATGCTACGAGTTCCCCTCCCTGGGCCGTATCCATCAATGCGGCCACTCGTCCTTGATTCAGGGCCACAGGGGCCGCAGCCGGCGGGGGTTGATTACGTTTTGGCTGCGGACAGTCCCGAGCGAAATGACCGGGCTGTTTGCAGTTAAAACATTCGATCTTTCCTGCTGGATTAGCCGGGTGAGGAAACTGTGGTGGATAGCCAGGAGCGGGCGGGGCAGGTAAGAGAGAGAATGGCGCAGGGGCAGGTCGAGCAGGGGCTGGGTTGGGCTTAATTAGCCTATTCATTATTTGTTCGATCCGCTCCATGTGAGCTGCCTGCATTTGAATCAAGCTGCTCATCCATTCGGACTGCTTGGTAGTGGCCGTATGGATCATTTGGGCAAGATGTAAGTTGGTTACGGTCGGCGAAGGGGGTTCGCGAATGATTCCGGTCCTAACTGTCGCTATCGGTTGATTCGTTGGGGGAGAGGGAGAGGGAACAGGCGGGATATCGGAAGTGGCCCCGTCGGGAAGGTCATGGTTGGGATGGGGATAAAACCTTTCTACCGTCCGCAGCCATGATCGCCATTTCGCCGTTACATCCTGTATGGTGTCCGTAATATCTTCATCTCCCTGACTGATGTATTTTTTTGTATCAGCCAGTTCCAGTTCCAACGCTTTAGCGATGATAGCAGATAGCTGGTGTGTCTTCGGCGGGACCTTTTGTCTGTAACTTCCCTTTCAACGTCGAACTTCGTAGGTGATCGATGAACAAGTCTCGAGCGGATTTCTCATCTCGCCCAGATTAGTCCAACGTGGTTTGAAATCGATCTACGAAATCGGGCAGCAATTCCCCTAGTCCTTGTGGTCGAGTTTTGAGTATGTACCAGGCGGCATCTTCACTGACCGTATCGAATCGAGCCAAGAATGCTTGTTTGAAAGTATTCCAATCTACCCACGTGTGCTTTCTAAACCAGTCATGTGACGTATTACGGAGTAGCAGGGTAAGAACGCGGGGAAGATCACCCGCGCTGTAACCTTGAGCTTCAACGGTTTCCAGCCAAGCTTCGGGGTGGGTATGATTAGGGAAAACGGGAAAAGGGGCAGGGATGCTAACCACTACCCTATTACCGTCCACCATTGGTATAGCTGGTATAGCAGCACCAGATATAGATCTGGTCACTGGGCGATCTCGGCGAGCGGGTGGGGTACTTCTTCTTCTACCTCTCGCCAGTTCAACTTACTATCATCATAACCGACACGTGTCGGCTCCGATACCAACCTCATGCCCTGTGCTGTCTTTCGTTCAGAGTGCTAGATGTGCGGAAAGAGGCCCAAAAAAACAGCAAGATGGGGTGTGCCAAGGATTTTTGGAAATTGAGTGTGGGGACACAGACGGAACTGAAATCCCCCGTGTTGGTCCGATGAAGTAAGTCRGTTGCTTTMGCGCRTYGCRGAATGCGCGCGCGGGCAYGGCGCGAAAAGAGAAAAAAATCCAAATTCAATCCAAAAAATATTGTCGAGCTTCCCACTRTGCTGCGGCCCRTCGTTTAGAGCGGAAGGGCTTTGGCACGCTTCGCGTGTCTCGTTTTCGTATCAAATCCCGTYGTYGCTCGCTGGTCAGTTCTGAGTCTGATGTGGAGGGTCTCAGCCGTGTGGCTCTTTCCTTATGCTCGTCTTCACTCCGTATTCGGTAGTGGAAACCCTTTGCTTCGTAGCGATCGAAACGCTGGCACTCTATGCACAGGGTTCGAGGCCAATGGGGCGCCACTGCCATCCACGGAATGACGATCAGCTCGTTAAAGGGGAGTAATATTGAGTAGGGTGGAAAGTGCGTGTCGATAATAACAAACCCAGTCTCTACGAACCCTGAACAACGGTTTGCCGGAGGGAAGTAGTATCGCCCACCGATCTGTGCGACAACTTCTCGTACGTCCCACTCGCATACACGTGTCCTTTCCTCGTTGTAAGGAAAAGGCCGTGGTGATACGGGAGGTACAGGAGGCTGATGCCCGATCGGAGGGTACTTGTCAGTCCACATATCAATCAATTGCAAAAACCTCGAGACGTCATCAAGAAAAGAAAATACTCACGCAACCCCCAATCAATCCTTTTCTACACGAGAGAGAGAGAAAACACTCATCAGCTTGATCATGCATGTAACTAACGGACCGGCCCGCGGCTCGGGTTTAGTGAKCTAACRCRACGTTGATCCGARGCGCCTTGTTTCTCGAGGCYGCCCTGTGGCTCGGGTGCTGAGGTTGTGCAGCATAAGGCAGATGGCATGCGCAGTACATYCAGAGCTACAGATCTAAACACTCTTGCATTCTCGAACAAAATCCCGACAACRATCWTCTAAYCAACGCAAAGAACCKYGKATCTYCATACATTCATTCACTGTGGAAGGTGCGAAAATGAGATATGCGCAGGGACAAAAAGGATGGATCGCGGAACAATACACACGCATCCACCGTTCACAAGACACGAAGACGGGGCTCTTGCATAGGGGAACTACCCAGGAAACTGATGAAAGAGTTCCGGAAGAAGTTCGTTCACAGGAATAGCATGCAGACTCATTCCCTTTGGAGAGAGAGAAAGAGATCGAGACTCGACATCATTCAAAGAGAGAGAGAGAGAGAGAGAGAGAGAGAGAGAGAGAGAGAGAGAGAGAGAGAGAGAGAGAGGAGGGAGGAGTGTCGAGATAGAGGAGGACAAAATCTGAGAGGAGGAAGTTTGGCGTTGCCGTCTAACACTCACGCCAGAGACAGAAATCCGCAACAACAAAGGCGCATTCGCCGTGGATTCTAATATGGCCCCAGGCCAATCACTCACTCAACTCCAATCATCGATCCTCATACCCACACCGACGATCCCGACCGTCGCGTGCTAACTCCCACCACTGCGATCGTCACCCCGCTAACGTAAACTCTGCGTGGTTCGCCCCGATCCCACAGTCTGTCGTGGCGATCAAGCGCGCAACCGGCCAGCCTATCGTCAGCCCGACAGGACTTTCCCACTCGCATCAAACACTCTGCCTAGCCAATACTTCCCGGAAGCTGGCTTGAGAGTCGAGAACGTAAGAGAGATTTGCGGGCGCGCTTGCAGAATTTATAGCAACGAGGAGGGAGCCAAGGGAGGGAGAATGCATGGTAAAAGTCGAAGTGTAAGAGGAGAAGCAGGAGGAGAAGACTTTGAGAGGAGCGCTTCGCGGAAGCCGTGTTGATGCTTCGAAACTCCAGATTAACCAATCAGACTCGTCGCGCGGTAGGCAGATCCTATCGTACCCCGCGTCTGATTGGTGGGCAAGAGTAATCGAAGGATCGATCGGACTTCATGAACTTTGCTTGGAGAGAAGAAAAGGCGCGAGAAGTAGCGCAAGATGGGTCCAAGATTCAAATGATCAAGAAAGGGGGAATGGGCGCGCAAAGAACTGAGCGGGAGAGAGAAAGGGAGGGAGAAAAACAGTTACGAAGAGAGAGGAGGAGGAGGGGGGGGGGGAAGGAAAAAGGAGCGCGGGAGAGGGCGATGCGGGGGATAGAGAGGAGAAAGCTTTTGCATGAGTGGCACCGTCAACAAAAACAAAAGAAAAAGGCACTGAAACAATTACAGCTCGCCTACGTCATAAACCAATTCAAAATTGAAATCACCATATCCGCGCGTGAAAGAGCGACGCGGGAAAAGAAGGTCCTACGCCTATTCGTATCCTCACAAAATTTCGAGAGTTTTCCCCAACGTGACCGAGAACATTCACACACAAAAAGGACACGTCGAAGTTCCGCTTATCTCGGACTTCCCAACTGTCGGGCCCAATTCCCAGTGCGCTCGCTATGGCGCACGTAAATTCCTATGTATTTTCCGAAGTGCAAAAAAAAAAAGCAGAACCCGGGAATCATAAAAGCTTCTGAAAGATGGGGGCAAAAAATGCGGCACCCGAAATCAAGAAATCGAAACGGGGTTTTTATGGGGTTGGTATGATACAAGCAAAAGAAAGGGTACGAAAGATAGCACGGGTTCGGGAAATAGTTCGTCACATCTACGTATATACATATTTTTGAAGATGGGTTGGAGCAAAACCTCCGCTTTGGAGGTGGGTTTTTGCCACGCATTAGGGGACAACCTTTTCCAAGCAGAGATTATAGCCCCCCATAATTCTGATTTGATGCGCTTGTTGAGATAAGACGGAAGAAGCAGGCAGGACCAAACATCAGACGGCCTAGCAAGGTCCCATTCTCGGGCCAGGATTTGTTCAGCCAACAATACCCAGTGCCGGGATTCCGAGGAGCATATCACTTTGGTCAACCAACACACCAACATTGCTCTGCTTTTGCGCAGAGGGTCGGTGACCGAAAGCCCTCCTTCCTCTTTTGGGAAGGTAATAAGATCCCCTGCCACTTTAATAAGAACACTCTTCTGGTCGTTTGCGAAGGGGTTCGAAATAAACTTGGCAGCTCTACTCTTTATCAGAGTACACAGGTGATTCCCCAAGGGCCTCACTGTCGCCACAAACCACAATAGTGCAAGTAGTGCGCAGTTGACTACCAGGGCTCTACCATACAAGGAAAGATGAGGAGCTTTCCCCCAAGTGGAGGCTCTCTAAAGGACTTTTTGCAAGATAATGCCTTCCTGGTCGACTGTACACGAGAGAAGAGAGACCTGCATCCCTAAAAACCGCTCTGAGGAACCCTCCTGAATACGCTTCATTCCCCAGCTAGAAGTGGGGGTATGGGCTTTAGGCAAAAAATACGCAGACTTAGCCCAATTAACCGAAGCTTCCGAAAGATCAGAATACTCGTCTAAACAGAGCTTTAAGGCAGACATGGAGCTCAGGGAGTTTTCAGAAATAGCAAAGAGATCATCAGCTAGAGCCTTAACTTTACATGATATTGCTCTAGTTGGGAGGCCACAGATACTAGGATTGACCCGAATGTTGCAGAGCAGGTTTTCCATTTGCAGCACGAAAAGCAAGGGTGCCAAGGGACACCCCTGCCTCAAGGACCGAGTCAGGTTGAAAGACTGAGACAAATTGCCATTCACCATAACAGCAGCAGTCGAAAGAGAGTATAGGGCAGTGACCCAATTACAGAGATTCTCCCCAAAGCCCAGATGACGAAGGGTGGTAAGGACGTAGGTCCAATTCACCCTGTCATAAGCCTTTTCTAGATCAAGCATCAAAACCATGAAGTTCTGATTCGTGGCTTGTACCAGCTCAAGGGCCTCCACAGCGGTAACTATATTGTCAAAGATAGATCTATCCCTGACAAAGGCCCCTTGATCACCCTGAACTAGATTGGGCAGGTAGCGGCTAAGCCGTCTCGCTAAAATCTTTGCTAATAATTTATATGAGACATTCAAGATTGAAATGGGTCGCCAGTTCCGGATTTTGGAGCGGTCTCCTTTCTTATAGAGCAAGGAGATAATGTCGTTCCGCATCCCTCTAGACAGGTTACCGCCAATCAAGACTTCGTTGTAAATGTCGACCAAGTCGTCCTTATCACTTCCCAGATTGAGCGGTAGAGCTCAACAGGTAACCCATCATCGCCAGAGGCTTTGCCATTTGCCATGGACGACAATGCCCCTAAGGCTTCCTCTGTTGTGACCGGGCGGTCCATGTCTAATCTGCCCTGCACACTCAATCTTGCTTCAAAAGAAGACCAGTGGGAATTCCCCTCAGAGAGGTCGGTAGCAATATCCTCTCCCAGCCTCTGAGTTGTTAGAATATCATGGTAATATAGTGAGGCATAAGAACAAATATCCTCCTGATTCCTTGCCACGGGGAGGCTCCGGTCAAAGGGGTGCATGAGTTCACCCATTGGATGGTTTTGCCTACTTGGCAACAACTGCTGGAACGACTTCCGGGTCATACGATCGTACACTACAATTCCCTTGATCTTCAGCTGCTCAGCCCAGCGGTTCGACTGAGCCTGTTGTAACTCGTCCCATTCTGCTATCAATTTCTGCCTGATGGGGCTCCAGACCAGATTAGAGATAGGTTGCTGACTCATTCTGAGTTCAGCGTAGCTGATTTTACTCTTTAATTTCAACTCTTGGTCATTTCTAACAGCTGCTAGTATACGAGAAAAGATGCTAAGATGCTTTGAGAAAATTCGGGAGCCGGTGTCCCACCACTCAGCCTTCGAATTGAAGGAACTTTGAATTTTTTTCCAGTCTTCCCAGAATCTTCGCATCCAATCTTGAACACCAGGATCTGCTAGGATATCAATATTTACTCGGAAGTAACCCGGTGCCCTTTCTGATTTTGTAGAATTAAAAGACGCAACAATCGGCTTATGGTCAGATAGCGACTGATGAGTTTCCTCAACCTTAATAATGACGCTCCAAGCCTCAGGGGACACTAGAAAGTCATCCAGTCTCCAACTGATGGAGCCAATGCCCTCTCGGACATTGGAAACCCAGGTATAACCCAGATCCCCATGGTGCATCAAGCGGTAAGGATCAACTAGGTCTTAATCAGCCATCATATCTTTCAAGGTCTTCACGTCGCAACTGGCCCTTTCTCCTTCTACCTTACCCAAAGAAACATTCCAATCCCCGACTATTACGAGGTTCTCCCCATCCGGAATAAATAGCGGGAGGTCGTCGATAAAATCCGATCGTTATTTCCTGTCTGTGGGGGCGTAGATCGACGCTATGGTCCATTCCTGTCCTTCTACCCAAAGTTTCAGCCACGCCCATCTGCCCCAAAGATCAGCATAAAAATCGACGATCTCTGCCTGAAAGTTCCTGTGTAGTAGGATAGCTACTGCTCCTCTGGATCCCCGAGCCGGAGACCATAATTGTGGGCCATCCCACCAACCGCCTAGAGCATTAATTTTATCTTCGGATAATTTTGTCTCCTGAAGACAAATTACATCCAGCTTAAGATCGTGAATCCAATTTTTAACCCTACTGCGTTTATATCTCTCTGAAGTGTCGCCCGACGCCCAAACCCCGTATGTTCCACGATGCGATCTTAAGTCTGCCCATTACAGGCGGGCGCCTCTGAATTCTGTTGGATAACGGCGGGGGCAGAAGTACCAGGTGGGACTGAATCTGACGGCCAATTGGCCGTCAGTGCCTGCTTAATAAAAGCCGAGTCAAGTTTTTTGTCTCTCTGCAGTTTGACATTAAATTCAGACAGAAATTCGGCCGTCAAAAACGAAAAAACTTGAATGCGACGAAGGTCTGATTTCCTTGCTTCCAAAAACCACACAAAGGGAATTAACCGAAGACCTTCTGATTCCAACCGTTCTAACGACCCTGGAGCAAAATGCCCATCCACTAACGGGACAAAAAACTTGACTCTATTACCGGCAACGTCAATAACGAAACGTGGCATTGAAACATCAGCGATGAACCGAAGAGCGAGTTTGTTATGAAACATGCTCCGCACGAGGATTTCGGAAGCATGCGGCGTAGGGGATTCCGAGACTGACATACTCAACAACAAAGGAGAACCATCAGCGCTTGCCCATGCGACAACGCAGAATGCGTTTCGAACATACACTCCCACAAAGGGGAGTAACTTCGATTCCACAACAGATTAACCTTTGGACAAGGCGTTCATGCGAGATCGAGATTGTTTGCGCTTACCTGCCTTGGGAGTGCCGGACATAGGGTCCTCTGACCTAAGAGAGTGCAACGAGCCTTCGCTCAAGGAGCCGAGTTCCTCTCCACGATCCTGATCCACTTCGATGTCAATGCCTCCTCCTTCGCTGATTCGTCTCTGCTTTCCCGGGGATTCACCCCGAGCTCGTGAAGAGGTCGGTCTCGCCAAACTTCCTCCACGGGGAGGGGGCGCCTGATGAGAAAGGCCTTGAAGGCCCTGTACGCCCACCACCTGCTGGGGTTGGTACCCCTGGGTGCCTGGAAGCCAGGGAATGAATGAATGCATGTTGACGAAGGACGGACTCACGACCAATTGTTGGCCTGGCAACGGCTGCGCCTGTTGAGCCACAAAGGGATGCGTTGGAATTCCTTGCAGAAAGGCCGCCCAAGATTGCGACCATGGGGCCGTTGAGGGTGACGGTTGCACGACACCTGCTCCTCCTGAGGCCAAACCCGGTCCCGGAGAGAAGACCGGGTTCACCCGAATCGAACCGGTGCCTCCTGGCTGCATAACCGCTGCTGTTGTCGATGTTGCCGTCGCCGAAGCTGCAGGGCTTTGAAGTCCCATGCCTGGATGTTGAAGAGTTCCAGAGTACGATTGACGCCTGCCACCTCCAAGACCAGGTCTTGTAGAGCCTGGAAGGGGACTCGTGGAATTTTCCCCTTGTCTTCTCTGGTTCTGTCTTCTGCAAGTGTCCTCCGTGTGGAAGAAGGTGCGGCATCTTCTGCACCATTCCGATTCAGCCGAGGCCAGCCGAACTTCCAGGACGTCGCCCTGATGAGTTTGAACCTCTATCTTGTCCTTCATGTTGTCCTTGCTTGCTGGGTCGATGTTGAACCGTAGGTTGACTAATTTGGGGTCGCTTGCATCCGCCTTGGGAGTGTGAGCCTTGACAATCTTACCAATGGCTCGCTCCACATGGACATGAGTAAACAACATCTTATCTAGTGGAACACCCACTGCCACCACCCAGAACACGTTTTGATCCACCAGCTTCCTCCAGCCCCGCATTTCAGCGCGGGTCATCCATGGTTTGGACTCCGTGCGATAGGTGACATTTGGCAAATCGATGTAATCACTGCCCTTCGCCAACATCCAATCGGTAATTTCCTGTGCTCTTGGGACGTAAGACACTACATTCGGACTTTCCACTTTAATTCGCCCTCTTCTGAAGTCCGGGCCAAAGGTAGCCCCGCTAATCCAAACGTCTTCGTACGCTCGGATTACATCTTCCTTAACTTTTTTCGGAAGAAAGCGAGCCCCATCCCGAAAAATTACTGTCACTGTACGTCCCTTTAACCACTTAACTTTCACTTCGTCTAAAGATCTATTCAAAATGAATTTAACCTCCTTGCCATTAACTTCCATTACACCTGGATCGATGTTTGTAGGCAAAATTCCCTCCTCGTAACATGCTCTCACCATCTCCTGAATTCTATCCTCTTCCATTTGGTACTCGTTCGGAACTTGGGAGCGAGCGTCTCTCCCCGACTGTCCCGCTGGTTCTACCTCCATCGGACCTTGATCCTATCGCCCTATCTTAACTGTGTTACCTTGCCTTACTTACTACACTGTAGCGGTGAGCGACGAAGGCGAATAGGCTGATTACTGGCACCATCAGCTATGGTTCTTCAACCATGGCTTCTCCGTCAGTACGAAGATGAGAGGTACCACCTACGGAAGCACTACTCGTGGTGAGAGGCTACCGCCAACCAGGCCTGCCGTACGACAGGCAGCGCCGAGACCGAGCGCTACGCCAGACTTAGCGCACCCAACTTTTTGTTTTCGGAAGATGTGTGTTATGCCCCTCATATATCCGTTTATTTACCATATGCCCCTTGAAACACCACCTTACCCTCCTGTGCCCATGGGGCCCGGAATCTTTTCGGCAGGCCCCTGTCGGAAGGGAGGGCAACTTGTTCCCATGGCCTTGGTGGACCGTAGACCGATGGTGGACAGATGGTCCGACCAGCAATGTCCGTCTGCATCACGGGATTCACACGCCTGTCAAGAGTGGCATCTTTTCGTCATACCCCCCCTCAATTGGGGCGACGTGCCTGCATGCTTGCGTGCTTGGACGCTGACCTCTCTCTCTCTCTCTCTCTCTCTCTCTCTCTCTCTCTCTCTCTCTCTCTCTCTCTCTCTCTCTGATGGTTGCATGCGTGAGTGCACACGCGCGCGCTCCCTGTTTTGGTGCACAAGTCTGTGAGTGTGTTGTCACGTTCCTTGTGCATAACTGCACAAAGAAAACATAACTGTAGGAGTGAGTGAGTGAGTAAATGTGTGTGTGTGTGTGTGTGTGTGTGTGTGTGTGTGTGTGTGTGTGTGTGTGTGTGAGAGAGAGAGAGAGAGAGAGAGAGAGAGAGAGAG